TTGAGATGGGGTCATGCTAACATGTTGCCTGGGATGACCTCTATTCATGATCCTCCTGTTTCTGCCTTCCAACTCTCATTATTTAAACAATGAGCATTATTAAAATAACAAAGACAATTCTTCTCAAATGAAGTGGTGTGAAGAAGAGTACAAATAAGCATACAAAATGTAGTATGATTTTCAAAAAGCTATCAAAAGGCTGAAATTTTTTCACTATAAAGAAATAATAAATATTATAGGAAATCCACATTTAAAGTTACTTGAATATGTTGTAATGCATACGTGTATCAAAATCTTTTAGGGAAACACATCTATAATTTTTTTCCTTGCATCCATATTCTGTTTTTGTGTCATAGAATGAATTAGCTAGTGTTCCTTCCCTTGGAATTTTATGCAATAAGTTGAGAAGTACTGCTGTCAGTTTTTAAAGGTCTTGTAGAATTCAGCAGATGATTCATGTGGTTCTGGGCTTTTTTGTTGGGAGACTATTATTGCTCAAATTTCACTGTTTTTTGAGGATCTGTTAAGTGGTAGTGATCCTCCTGATCAGGTGTTATAGTTGTAAGTATATAGAAATTCACTACTTTCTTCCAGTATTCTCTCATATGCAGAATCTAGGCCTAATAATGATAAAATGACAAGGTTATAAAATAGGAACTCTTTGGATTGGAGGAAACATGGGAGGGGTAAGGGAGAAAGGAGAAGGTGGTGATAGGTGGATATTATTGAGTTACTTTATATATAATTCATGAAAATAGAATAAGGAAACTCATTAAAGTTTAAAAATAAATAAAGGAGGTATAAGAAAGCATAATAGAGTGGATGAGAATTTCACAATGAAATTCCTTTTTTACAATTTAAGTATGGTAAAATAGAGAAGGAAATTACAGGGTATAGACTTGGAAAAAAATGCAAAACCACATACTAATTACATGAAATTGTTACAAAATGCATAAATTCTCAAACTTCAACTGCATGAGAAGAAATGGCCTACTTAACAAGTATACAAATGACTCAGAATAAAATATTAAGTATTAAATTAAGCACAAATATCATTACTCAAAAGAATGCTAGCTTTCAATGTATAGGCATCATAAAAGTATATGTTTCCGAAATACGGTTTTTCATTAGTTTAATCATGAATCTTCATACTTACACGAACATATTTCAGGTTCTTGTGGATACATCTAATATTTTCAACCAATGCCTTTTTAATGTTTGTCTTCATTTGTATGTAGGTGTCTAGAGATGTAGAAAACATCTATTTTATTAGTTTATAATCAATATGAGGAAGTCTTTGATCAGGAACTCAAGAAGTTCTTAGGTGGAATTATAGGTTGTAACAATTGAAGGCAATTAATGATAAAAACAGAGAAAGTTAGTTGGGCCAGACGGCACTCTAGCCAGCTAGAAATTATATTTTGTAGCCTCTCCTCCATGTCAGTCTTGTTGATTACTAAATTTCATCTGAGGGATTGTTCCTGGAGGTTCTGAATGTCTATATCAAGTTTACACCTGAAACAGAGAAGTGAGTACTTCTTTTCACTCCCATTATTCCCACTGCTATAGTCTCAGAGGTTCACCTTATCAATGCAGACTTAGAGAAAGGAGACTGTTGTTGAAGATGACAGGAATTCATAAAGAAACCTTGACCTCTTCTGAATTTGTAATGATAGAAAAAAATGTTACATAATACACTATAAATTTGCAATTTTGTAAGAATATATTAATAATACATATTATATGTAGTTATTAATTTCTGATTATTTTCAGACTATATTACTTAGTAATCACAAAAAGAGAGACAGAGAATATGCAAGAGGAGTGATCTATTCAGGTATTTTTATTTTTATTTTTATGCTATACTAAATTTCTTGAGTGGCAGGAAGAGTGGGTTCCTTCAATTAAAAAGTGACATGGGACAGGAATTTATCCCCAGGGTGGAGGACATTTCCTACTTAAAGAGAACTGTTTTGTCTCACTTTAGAATGTATCTTAGAAGGTAGTAACTCTCTGTTTCAAATAAAGGTAAATTCCTAAACTTAGAAAACCATACCAACTTCTTCACCATTTTCTGTATTATCAATCAATAAAGGTAAGCATTGTAGTTATTTTAATCCTAGAGACATCAGCATGAGCTAATTAATAAATACCAAATTTATACCATTTATACTTGCATACATACACCAAATGCATTTACCCTGCATATGCTTTTAATTTTAACATCACTATATAATGAAATTGCAAAATGAAAAATTTTAAAGGGAGGCTTCTTAAAAAAAAACTTTGCTTCTGATTGCCTTTATACTATACTGACATTCTGTATTCTTAGAGCAAATCAAAACAAAATGCAAAATCCTGTTCAATATACAAGGTTGATAATTTATAGATTACCATGTTGAACATAAACATTTTCATATAATGAGCTGATATTTACTAAGTGATATTGTGTGTTATACAAGGATTTAAATAATTTACATATATTGGAACATGTATAAATATCCACTTCAATATAATGGATGAGGAAGATGCAGTTAGACATTATTAAAATTAGTCAGCTACCTATCACTATTAGGTGGGTTCCTGTTTGCTTACAGTTAAGATTCTTTTGAAATGAATCTGAAATTATAAGAAAAAAATACACGTGTTACTTCCTACAAATTTCAGTCATAAAAATAAAATTTGTGAGTTGCATGGAGTCATAACTACTGTTTTTCCCATTATATTTTATTTCATGAAGTTGCTATGAACATAAGCTATATGTACATGGTACATAATAGATGCTTTAAATAACATAACAATATCTACACTAAAAGCTGTTTTTAAATGGATACTAATGAAATAAACATGAACCATTTGAATAAAAACAAAAGTGACATTTTGCTGAATTACCTAGGAGTTTTCTTAGTCAGAAAACCAGCAGCCATATTAAAGGATTTGAAAAAGTATTTTTGGAAAGAATTTGTTGAGAATGTAAATACAATTGGGATGGATTTGAGTAATTATAGCTTTATTCTTTCTTTATATACCCTTTTACATGGAAAAATCCATTAATAGTCATAAAACTAGTTCTATTTTAGCAAAAAAAAAGAAGGAAAATCTTAAAGTAAATATGGAGAAAGGGAAAGTTCTGTTGTCGCATTTTCTTGCTTGCTATTTTTTGAAACTTAGTTGTATTTTGCTTTCCAAATGTATACTCCTATTTAAACAGTGGGGAATACAATAAAAAAGAGATTACAATAAGAGAAGAGCCTAAAAAATAGCATATTAAATAAAAAATTTAAAAAAGAGACTGGCAGCTAATCCAATGGTGAGGACATGATGTATGGTAGTCCACAATGAAATTATGATTCAAGCAACTGATTGCATTATCCTCAATGCATTGAGCTCTAAATTGCATTAAATAGAAGAATAAACTTTTAAAATACTAGTGTGATGAAATGAAACAAAAACACATGCAATAAGTTTTCGTGCCCTGGAGCCCAAAACTTATTAATGTCACCTCTCACTTAATAGTTTTTGTTCCTTTTGGAATTTCAGTTACAACATTTTTAGATTCTAATGTCAAATTTTCATTATAGTAATTAGATAATTATGTAAGAAGTTTTAAGTATTGCTAATATTTCAATATTTAATATAGAATATTATAAAGGAAAAAGAAATACTTATTAAAATTTCTTTTGTCAGTTACAGATACTCAGGATGCATAAATTTGTCATGAGCTATTGCTCTTTCCACATTTATGCCTATATTTTGAGACTGTATTCTTCACCAACATCCACACATAACACATTTATGATATGATTAAAGGTGGGCTGACATTTAGCAATGAGTTAGTTTCCTTGTCTTTAAATCAGTTAAGACTTAAGGTGGGGATTATATGACAAACATTTAAAATAATGAGATGGTGAGCTATTTTTGAAAGAGTGAATGAAAACATGGTAATACATGCATACTCACCCACACACCACACACACAGATGCACACACACACACACAAAATATAGAAAAGATGTGTAATATCAAAACAAATTACAATATAGAACTAGAGATAAAAAGAACATCATAAAATTAATAATGTCATTCCAACATATGTGGTGTGCCTGAACCTACAGAAGCTTATGCAAGTGAATAGACTGAAGGAAATAAATGAGCTCAGTAGAACAAGGGCAATCAGTGGGGATGCAAATGATTTGGAAAATATCATAGTTAAGATGTGGTTAATCTCCCTTTCACACAATAGATGTGTAGTCTGAGTAAACAGGCATGTACTTTTACTTGGAATTGCTTTCTTGACCACAGATGATTAGGAGACTGATCCTGACTTTTCAGCTCCCCAGGACAAGAAAAATATCTTAAATCTTGAGATCGTAAGAAAACATCTTAAAGTCACTCAGACTATAAAATCCAATGAAATTCAAGACTTCTAATTTCAAAGACTTTGCATTTAATTACAAAACATCCCATAATATTTAGTGGTCCATCACAAATTCTATAATAATAAAATAGCCCAATTATGCAAATTATCAAAGCTAAAAAGTCTTAGAATATCACTTTTTTGATAATCACTTTTAAACATTCAGAATATTTGTCCCTAAAAAGAGTTTTAGATATCTTTAAAGATCATTTACTTGTACAATCCAGTTGACTTTAAGTTGATAAACATGGAAAACAAAATTGTTTATTAAGGAGAAAACATAAACAAAAATAATGGAATGATTTCTATCATTGAACATAAACTCAGATTTTGTTTTATATTATGGTCAGATGAAAATTTAATATATGCCTCATCAGAAAATCAATATTTAATTACAAAGCAGGAAAAGAAAATAATAATTGTTTTCATGGATATTCTCAGTTGCAAAAAATATATTTCCCCTTTTCAGAACACATGGAAGTTACAGATTTTGTTAATGTAAAGAACTGGTAAATATGGGAATATGTTGTCTTCAGTGTAAACCTAAAAGCCAAGGAAATTGGAGTAACTTCTTTGATGAATCATTTTGACAGATGAACCATGAAGAGATAAAAGCAGAAGATAATGTTTCCACATTGAAGCAATTTGTCCTTCTGGGTTTTTCTGAACTTCCATACCTGCAAGGGTTTCTATTTGGGGTGTTCTTCCTCATTTACCTGATTATCTTATGTGGAAATAGCCTCATAATCATAATAACCAGGCTTGACACCACATTGCAGAATCCCATGTATTTTTTCCTGGCAAATTTTTCTTCATTAGAAATCTGTTACGTGTCAGTTACTCTCCCCAGGATTCTGGTCAACCTTTGGACTCAGAATAGAAGCATTTCTATGCTGAACTGTGCCACTCAAATGTGCTTCTTTCTTGTGCTGGGAGCCACTGAATGTTTCCTCCTGGCTGTGATGTCCTATGACCGCTATGTGGCCATCTGTAATCCTCTGCACTATCTTTTAGTCATGAACCCAAAGAAATGCATCCGGCTGGCAGCTGGCTCTTGGCTCAGTGGAATTCCAGTCCAGATAGGACAAACATGTCAAATATTCTCTCTACATTTCTGTAAATCTAACCAAATTAGCCACTTCTTCTGTGACATACCCCCCATTATCAAGCTAGCCTGTGGGGACACTTCTGTGCATGAACTTTCTGTCTATGTGGTGGCTACATTGTTTGTTGCATTCCCTTTTATGCTGATAATTGCCTCTTACAGCAAAATTATTTTCACCATACTGAGGTTGCCAACAGCTATCGGACGGGCAAAAGCCTTCTCCACGTGCTCGTCCCACCTGCTGGTTGTGGTTCTGTTTTTTGGATCTGCTACCATTACCTACTTAAGACCAAAATCCAATCAGTCTGCACTTACTGACAAACTGCTGTCTCTTTTTTACACCATTGTGACTCCAATCTTTAATCCTATGATATACAGCCTTAGAAACAAGGATGTGATTGCAGCACTGAAAAAATTATTATTTAAAACCTAATGTTGTGGGATTATGCACAAATGCTTTAATTGATTGTCACCTATTAAAAACATTTTTAATCTGTCCATTTCTTCTTTGAGAAGCTATTTACTTCCAACTTATTACATATTTCTCTTACTTTCAGATTTAGCCTGATGCTTTCTCTGTTTAGACATTTCCTAGACAAATTAGTCTACATTCTATGCCTAAGAAAAAATTTTCTTATAAGTAGCATTGTAATTTTTGTATGTTACAAACATAAAAACTATAAGCAGAATTAAATCCATTAGGACTTGGGACTTAACTATACTTGAACATTATTTGCCTGAATAATTCCATAAACCTACATCCTATATTTACTGGTATTCCTTTATTTTATAGTATATAACCTTGCCAAATATTTTCAGTGAATGATTAAATATGTAAACGGATTAATGCTTTGCTATATGTTGTTCTAGGCAATGCTTATTTATATAAATAAATAATGAGAACATATTTATTTCACTTTCCATCAGAGTCCAGGATAACTGAAAACACATTCATTCAAATTAACTTCTAAATCCATCAAATAATATGAATATAATAAAATGGAGTCCAACACAATCTAACTAACTCTACCTGGAATACAATGTTTTATGGTGAATCAGTGAATAATTTATGGCAGTCAGAGATCTGATCAAATAAAAATCATTTAAGCCAGTCAATCTTGTTCATTGGAACATTTTGATAGACACACAATGATCTTCCAGAGATCACCAAGTCTTATTGGTGGAACTTTTGAATATAATAATTACATGACAAATGAGACATTGCAGATTTGAATTAGCTTTCAAACCTTGGCATAAGGAGACTATTCAAGTAGCTAGCCCAATCAATTAGATAAGCCTAGTAAAAGAGAAAGAAAATATAAGGGTATGCTAGAGATATGCAATGACGAAAAAGGAACGGAATTTTCAAAGTTTTTGTTTATAAGATTATGTCATCTGTAAGCAGTGACAACTTGACTTCTTTAAAATGTGAATGCTCTTTATTTCTTTGTCTTGACTGATTTCACAGACTCACATATTATTCTAGGCCTACACATGGTCAGGATAATCAATACCACTGGCTTCCACTTTCATAGCTTGACTCAATAGAGAGTCTTCAGGACCAATAAGATGCATGGAGCTATCATCTCATAATAACTTTTTCTTCTTTTTCAATACCACCTGAAGAGACTGCCTCAGCTATTCTTAAAGTTAACAGTGCTATATGTAGAAAGAACACATTATAAGTTAGCAATAAAAGCTATAGTGCAGTATATATAAATCAGTTAAAATCCGTTACCATCCTCAGTATGATATGCTATGTGCATATGTGTGTTATACTTTTATATGATTGGGAGAGATGCTTATTTACACTAACATCACCTAAATAAAAATAAATCATAACATATAAATAATGCATGGTGAAATGATGCTTGGAAGGCAAAAACATCAATAAGCAATAGAAAACTTTCAGACCCCAAATAATCCTAAGGACTGCCATTTTCTCTTATTGGTTGCAATGTTGTTATGAAACAAGAGTATATATTCATGCAACAAGAAGCTAAGTCTTTGTCTATCACTCCAGGTGAATTTCAGACAATCACAGGCTTCTAATTAATCATACCATATCCATATAAGGCAAATACATCATCATATAAAGCCCACATAAGGCAAATGCCCAGCTATAGCCAATCAAGTCAATCCAAATGATACTTTCTCTGTCTGTAAACATTGATTTCTCACATTGCTAGACAGAGTTCTCAGAACCTCTAGTGGATCAAGATCCTCTCTGTATTACCAAGCATTCTTTGCTCAATTAAAATTTGGTAAATTTTTTATTTGTCAAAATTATTTTCCACTCAGAAAGAGTATATATTCATGCAACAAAAGCTAAGTCTTTGTCTATCACTCCAGTGTGAATTTCAGACAATCACAGGCTTCTAATTAATCATACCATATCCATATAAGGCAAATTACATCATCATATAAAGCCCACATAGGCAATGCCCAGCTATAGCCAATCAACAATCCAAATGATACTTTCTCTGTCTGTAACATTGATTTTCTCACATTGCTACAGAGTTCTCGAACCTCTAGTGGATCAAGATCCTCTCTGTATTACCAAGCATTCTTTGCTCAATTAAAATTTGGTAAATTTTTTATTTGTCAAAATTATTTTCCACTCAGATCTATGCAGTGTGGGAAAATTGGTAAAGCTCTTTGAGTGGTATTTTAAGATACATAAATAAAGATAGACACTTGTAAACACAGGTTACTAAGACTTCACAAAATATTAATTGATCATTCAAGATAATATGCAGTAGCCATGCATATTCTATGTATATTATGAGTTTTTTGTAGGTTAATGCTTTTATTTACTAATTTATTTATTTTTATTTTTGTGCTGGATAGGAGCACATTTTGGCTTTTATAAAAGTTCTTACAACATATCAAATATATCATACTTGAATTCACCCCCTCCACCATTCTCCTTTATTTCCCCTCCTTACATTTCTGGGATAGTTTCAACAGGTATAATTTTTTCATTTACACACTTGTGAACATAATATTTGAATCATATTCAACCTCCTATACCCATTCCCTACTTCCTCTTCCCCCAATTTATACTAACCCCCTGAGATAGGATCTGTTCTACTCTCCTGTTCTCTGATATATGCTCATTTAATCATAATTTAACATTACTTATTTACATATTAGCACAGACATTTTGTAATGTTTACCTTTGTCAGATATACTCTGAGCATTTAAAGTTAGCATATCATGAACTGAACAAGTTAAGAAGGAATATCACAAGCTGGAAAACTGGAAGAAACTAACCTGCATATTGCATATTTTTCATAGTTAAAAAGAGAGTATACTTATAAGCACAGATTGTTATGAGAGCACTGAATTATTCTTATTAAAATTATGAAAGGGTTGAAATTATCACAATAAATATGAATTATGCTACTTTATTCAAATAAATTTAAATCTAAGCTCCCTAAAATCTATATTACCCTATATATGTATGTGTGTATATGTACATACATATATATACATATATGAGGGCTTCATACTTGTTAGGTGAGCCACTCCTCTAGCCCTTCCTTATATTGGGTATTTTCAAGTTTGGGTCTCATCAGCTGTTTCCCCATGCTGGGTTCAAACCATGATCCTCTTGATCTCTGTCTCCTGAGTATCTAGGATTGCAGTCATGAGCCATAGGTGCCTAACAGTATATTGCCTAATATTTTAATGGAGATTACTAAGAAATTCATAGATACTCTTTAAAATACTGAATTCATAGTAATTGATTGTAGAAACAGCTTCCCCTGTTTTGTGTTTATAACAAAAAGCCCAATATTCTTTGCATAACCCTCATTTCATCATGAAATGTAAGCCATTAGAGGCAGGTGAATCTAATGATATCAAAGAAGAGAAAAGAGCTGCAACAAACATGTTGGCTGGCAGGAGCAGCACCGCCCAGCAACCAGGAGTGGGAAAGTTGTAAAAGCTGTGGTGGGTGGAAAACTCCACAGGAGAGGGGGGAAGGCCCACTTCCCACATGAACTGTAAACAAACATGCAGGCCAGAGAAAGCAGGTGCAGTGTCACCTCCCCCAGTGTGCTTGGAAAGGGAAAAGCTTGTAGCTTGTAGCCTGCAGGGCCAGGTGAGTGTTAAGCTCACCCCAGAGATCTGCATAAATAAAGCCTCCAGTAACAGCAGGCTGAAAGCAGCAGGCAGGCAAGCCACAGCTGCAAAAAGCCCTTAATGCAGAGAAACTAAAGCAGATACCTTAAAGCAACTGAGGCCAATAGGAAAAGGGGACCAGGAACTAGAGAAAAGTTTAGATCAAAAAGAATTAACCTAGAAGGTAACACCCATGCACAGGAAATCAATGTGAGTCAATGCCCTGTATAGCTATCCTTATCTCAACCAGCAAAACCCCTTGTTCCTTCCTATTATTGCTTACTTCAGACACTATGTGGGTTTTTTTTTTTTTGTACAGTTTTGCTCTACTTTATGTGTCCCCTTTGATGAGACAACTACAGAACAACATCTGAGGCACCATCTCCAGGATTGGAGTCTGAAACGGACAAAAAAATTATTAAGATTGAAACTTCATTGCATTTGAATTTGGAGGTGCTTTTTTTTTATTTTTCTATTTTTCATTTTCTTTTATTTTATTTATATAAATATAATTTTTTTTCTTTCATTTACTTCCTTTTTATTTTTATTTGAATCTTTATTCTTTTTATTTTTCATGTTCAATGAAAATGAAAACACAACCTACCAGAACCTATGGGACACAGCAAAGGCAGTCCTGAGAGGAAAGTTTATAGCCATGAGTGCATATTATTAAAAGACTGAAAGATCCCAAATCAATGACCTAACTGACCACATTCAAACTCCTAGAAAAACAGAACAAGCAAATCCAAATCAAATAGGAGAAATATAAAAATGATAGCTGAAATCAATGAATGAAAAAAAAAAACCATGCAAAGAATTAATGAAACAAAAAGTTGGTTCTTTGAAAAAATAAACATTGATAGACCCTGCAAACCTGAACAAAAAGTTGGTTCTTTGAAAAATAAACATTGATAGACCCTGCAAACCTGACTAAAATTGAGGATAGAAAAAACCCATATAGTAGAAGTAGCGAATGCAAAAAGGGGAGATAACAACCAACAACACCATGGAAGTCCAGGAAATCATCAGACACTACTTTGAGAACCTATATTGAAAAATTTGAAAATCTAAAAGAAATGGACAGATTTTTAGATACATATGATCAATCCCAAACTGAACCAAGAGGAAATTAATCACCCCTGAATGGACCTATAACACAAAATGAAATTGAAGCAGCAATCAAGAGTCTCCCCAAAAAGAAAAGTCCAGGACCTGATGGATTCTCTGCTGAATTCTATCAGACATTTAAAGAAGAAATGATACCTACCCTCCTTAAACTGTTCCATAAAATAGAAAGGGAAATAA